ATTTACTATCAATCGACGGTCCTCGTAATCAATTGATAGGATTGTACTATCAAATCTTGAAATGTTGCTATCTATTGATGTTTCGGTAGCTGTAGCAATTACCAGTCATATCTAATCTTGCCTACGTGGACCAAATCTATACTTTTGTTTTTGTTTGATTTATCCTCCCTGAATTAATAGTTCCAACCTTCTTTTTGTTTTTTGGGATAGTTCCTACAACGAATTGTATGCTTCAACAACAATGGGCTCGAAAGTCAGTCGAAAGTCACTGTTTGGAGATTTGATGAAGGCATTATTCGAAATATTATTTGAAATAATTGTTATAGTACATTTTATGATATAATCATGACACAATTTGACAGTTCAACTAGGGATGTAATCGAGTGCCATACTCGATCTCGACTCTCGAGCGAGTAGTATTATTGGAACTCGAACTCGAGTTCGAAACTTGCTCGTAGAACTCGAGCTCGACTCGCATGGGTTCAAGTCAATTTGAGCCTTATCGAGCTACAAAATTTCATTTTCTTGATAATTTTTTAGTGAAAAGACATTATTGCTCTTTTAAAATTTTTATACGACTTGAAACATTTCGTAAATTCAATAACTATTTTGGATATAAGAGTAATTTTATAATAATAATATATTAAAGAATTAAAATTAAAAAACTCGATAAGACTCGACTAGCTCTCGAGCGTTGCTTCTGAATACTCGAACTCGACTCGTTTGCTTTATAGAGGCGCTCGAATTAGACTCGAACTCGGTCAACCCGAGTTCAAGTCAAATTTTTGACCGAGCTGCTCGCGAGTTGGTTTGATTACACCCCTAGGTTCAACTAGACAACTTGGTGAACTAGCTACCTAATCGGGCTAGGTAAGTAGTTAGATCAATTAAGAGAGGAGCACATTAACTAGTCAATGGTTTATCAATTCAATTCGTAAAATCTCAAAAAATTGGCGGTTCAACAACTTGTTAAATGATTATATTATTTTTAATAATCCAAATACATTATTTTATTATATAATACAACCATCGAGTCAATCAGTGAATCCTGGGTTGAACCAATATCCCATTGAACTAGTTACTGAATTGGGTTGATATATGGGCTGAATTTAATAACAATGTATGTAAAGTTTGTGAAATAAAGAAAAAATTCGAAAGATAAAAATAAAATGAAAAAATGTGCTTCTGATACAAGTATAATTTTTTTTTTTCAAGTAATAATATATCCAAACATGAGTGAGTTGTTTTTTCTATTATGACTAGTGACAATAAAGGAAACCACCAATTGTGCCAAAAAAATACGCACCACAGGCTGTAGCTAACCTCACAATTGCAAATTGTTGGATATCATAATAACATGGAGATAGATATAGATAGCTAGAAAATACGTTCATTTAGCATTTATTTTTTGGGTTCGTCTATTTAGCGCCTTAAGTGCAACAGATAAGAAGTTGGTGTGGCATTATTCTTTGTCCAAAAGGATAAAAACTTTTATTGTGAAAGTGTTACAATTCAAGAGATGAATGATAATTTCAAAGTTTAGTAGTAGACCAACTTCTCCTTTTTTTTTTTTTGTGCTTATCTAAATCTTATTATTTTACCGTCTTCAAGCACGAAGTAATAATATAGAGTCAATTTCTCTGCCGTCGCATCCAATGAAAGGATATGATGAATATTTATTTGACGTCAAGCTCAATAAAAATGCCATGATACGTGTGATAAGAGTTGTTGTCAAGAAAATATATAAAAAAGGAAGCCCAAAGCCAGTAAAAGAGGGGAAAAATGACATTGTGAATATATCAAATAAAATTGCGGGCCATGGATTTTTTTTTTTGTCTATACAATGTTTAGTCAAATGGGCACGAAATAAGTTGAGTGATAATTTTGGTATGATCGATTCATAAATTTCTGCTGGCAGATTGTCTGCTGAATTATTGGCGGACATCGATTGTGATGGCTTGGAAAACTTTGTTTCCTCTAATTCAATAAATTAGTTATATGTTGATTTATTTGATCGATTCATAGCATTCTTTATCAGTTACCTTTTGATTCAAAGGTCAGTCCACTGTTTGGAGTACTTATTCATAAGAATGTGATTAAATAAGTTTGCAGAGTAAATTGAAGAGACAGATATTGAGAATCAGGGCCTGACAGATATTATTACACTATGAGGTCTCATTTCGATTTAGTCTTGCATTTATTTATTTTTTTTGAATAATTGAATTTGAATTCATATATTCATTCTTAAGATCCTTGCCCTGCTGTGCCGATTAGCAGAAGTATTGGTATATCATGAAATTTTTCCTTGTCTTGCCCCTCTCTTACCTAGTTTTATTTTTTCCTTGGACAATCAGCACAAATACATAAGTCATTTTCTATCAGGTGTCATGCATTAGGAAAAGAGTTTTGTTCCTTGAAAGTCATTTTTTTTAATTTATTTATGTGTCTTGATTTTGGTCTCCTACACAAAAAATATATATATATTTTTTTTCATTTTTTAAACTTGTGCAGGCATGTATCAACAAATTGTAATTGGAATATATATATATATATATATATATCACAGATTTTCAGCCAACCCATTGCCATGTATACTAGCCACAAATGTATGCCTAGCAACTACCATTTAATTGTTTGGGTACATTAATTAATTTGAAGGGCAGACATATAAAGCTGTTGGATCTTATCAATTAAATAAGAGCCCATGTATTGTTCATCTTGGTGATCATGACTAGTCAATGGCAATAAGACTGTACTCTCCTATCTTGGAGATGATCCTTCCAAAGAGTGGCCATATCATCGAGGCACCTTAGTGTTTATCGCTACAAACTTATAAAAATTATTTGTGATTTGTATATGTAAATTCTGTAATCAATTGGAAAGCAGAAAATTCAATTGACAGTGAATTGAGTGGATAATTATATCCTAATGCACAGTAACTTCTACGAGAATATTATACTCATAAACAGTTTAAGAATAATTAATAACTCGTAATCTATCATATTCGAGGGGCGATTATATTGTGGCCCAGAAAGATCTGAGGATGGTGGACACATTGTTACTTTATTTGCTTAATTATGAGTTTACTGATAATATTTGCTTAATGGAATTCTGCATTTACAAGTTATGTATTGTCAATCATGCATCTCTGAATATTTTGCACCCCTTGCTGAATATTACAAGGTTTAATATTCATTTTTGGCAAATCTTCTAACTTGTCTTTCTTCCTGCTGTCTCTAGATAAAGACTCATGACTGTTATAGATAAACAATAAGGTGTTGGGGAGTGTAGAGATGTAATGCATCACTGATTCACAAGCTCAACTCTATCATGGGAAGAATGAGCTCCAAACAAATTACTTCCATGGAATGACATTTTATATTTTTTTAATTTTTTTTTATCTGGGGAGGGGTGAGAATTAAGACGTGAGGGAGAGATGGGAGATCTTAATTTAAGATTTCTAATTTCTAGAGTTTTAATCTTAATCATTAGGCAAAAAGCCTCCTTGGCTTCTAAATATTTTACTTATTTAACTTTTACTTAATTTATTGGACAAAATACACTTTATTTCCCTCTGATTTAGCAAATTTTCACATAACCTCCCTATAGTTTCAAAAGTTATATATAATCCCCTTATAGTTTTGATTAAAGTATCAAAATAACAAAAATAATCATTTGTAATGGAACCCATGAAAATGCCAAAATTACCTTTATTAAAAAAAATGGTTGAAGTTACCAAAATATATAAACATAATATGCATGACACTCTAACCCTATGTGGTTTTATATTTTACCATATAATTCCCTTATGGTTTACTATTTTATCATATAACCCTTTTATGGTTTTCAAAATATATATATAATCCCCTCATAGTTAATAAATAATTTTTAACTTTACATAGGAATACTTTTGACATTTTAATTGGTTCCATTATGGAATGCAAATTCCGTCATCTTGATACTTTAATTTAAAGTATAAAGGGATTATGTATAACTTTTGAAACTATATTGGGGTTATGTAAAAAATCGCTAAACCATAAGGGTGTAAAATATATTTTGCCCTAATTTATTTTTTTGTAAGTGCTTTATTTGTTTCGATCACTTGTATTTTTTTGTTCATAATTTCTTGAACCCTGTATTATACATTAAAAAGTCCCTATACTAGATTAACAGTTTAAGTATGACCAAAGAATTTTAGTAAGATTGCAGATCTATTTCTTCGAAACAAAAAGTTACCTTGTTTGATCATAAAAATCGTTTACAAATTGAATCGAGCGTCACCAAAGTTGAAAATAATTCATGAAAGTGTGTAAATGGCAATTTTAGTTCCCATACCATATACACATAACCTAAATGAAGTACTTATGAAAGATATATTTGCTACAATTAAACATATGAACTGTATATCCTGTCCAAATTTCATAGGCTAGGATTTACTGCTCGCCTATTCAAAGCCTCTATACTTTATGGAAAATTCTTGAACGATCCACGATTTATGAGCTTATTTACAAACCATGTTGCCATGTAAGTAGTCACAATTGGTGATATGGATCTTTGATGGCTGCACTGCTAATCTAAGTATTTTCCATACTCCATGGGCAGCTCTAAGACTTCCGAACTGGGGATGGCAAAAGGGCTTTTGCTCTTTTTTTTTTTCTCTTTAGAACTTTTTGTTCTCCCAAGCAAGAAGAAGAATCCTTTGTATGTTTTACTTGGATTAAAGCGAAAAATCTACATCACTAACAGTACGGATTGCAAAACTTCTTGTATAGAATCAAATAGCCCCCAGACTAATTCTATAACAATATCCATATAAATTTTATATTCTAAAATAGTCAGAGTATCTAATAAATGATAGTACATTGCACTAGTGCATGATCTATGAAGTAAGATAGTGCGAAAGCGACATGTAAACAAACGAAAAGAAAACAGCATTTTTTCTCATTGATATAAATTCATGTTCAATTATTCATGCCTAAACCATTTTTAACCCCTTGCTTTCATCAGTCTTCGTTTCTTGGTTAATAGATCTCTGAAGAAATGAGTCTAACTGGTAAACTGGTTTTCCAAATCGAAATTAAGTCCAATGGAGATATGTTTCATGAGCTCTTCAAAAACAAACCACATGAAATGTCCTCCATAAGCCCTGATATCGTTCATGGTTGTGAGCTGCATCATGGTGATTGGGGAACAGTAGGATCTATCATCTTCTGGACATATACTCACGGTAAGTTTCTGATTCTTTCCATTTTTTCCATCGATTTACTTTTACCATTTTAATACTTTTTTTTTTTTTGGGGGTTTTCCTTCCAAAGTTCAAATCTGTCAATCTTTCTTGTTATATCTGCTACATGCAAGTCGTGAAGAGCATTAAATTGCTTTATAAGTTGGTCAAGCATTCTTAAATACTCAACAAGTCTACGTTGCTTAAAGTTGCGCTGGCGAGACTTTGGCCGTTTAAAATTATGCCTTTCGGCTTCAAAATCCAGTACCTAATCTATTGGTTAATTAATTCCACTGTTCACGTCTTTTCAGATGGACAAAAGAAGGTGGCGAAGGAGATAATTGAGTCTATAGACAAGGAAAAGAAGTCGGTCACATTTAAGGTGATTGAAGGAGACCTGTTGAAGTTGTACAAGAGCTTCATCATTACTGTTCAGGTTGAAAATCATGGTCAAAACAACTTGGTTATATGGACCCTCCAGTACGAGAAATTGAATCACAGCGTCCCTGATCCAACAACTATAGCAGACCTTGCCACCAAACTCACTAAGGATATTGAGACTCACCATCTCAAATGAAGGGCCTATGATTTCCGAATCATGATCATATGAAGCATAAATTTGATTACAAGTTGCTATATTTGTAAGCGTATGTTGTGAAGGATGTGAACTTGATGAAAAAGATTGTGGCATGTCCAATGTGAAAGACTCAAGTAATTGTGTGTTTTCTTGTTGTACTGTTTTGGTATGTTAGTAATTCTGTAACCAGCCTATCATCTGTTATAAGAATCTTTGTGCAACATAAATAAAACGAGGGCTTTATAATTTATGCCTAAGTGTTGTTATGGTATTTTTACATGCATAAAACCGATTTCATTACTTACATAAAATCCTCATCCTGGAGGTTTTAGCTTCGATGGTATTTTTTTCATGAAATGTAGTGACATTGACATTTAACTCTTAATTTCCAACACCATGCAAGCTTCTTATTCATGGACAAAGTTCACGAAAATGCAGGGATAGTAAAAGATGGAGTGCCTAGTGTTGTTGGCACGACTCCGTGAAAATAATGGAGAATGCCGATCATGTGTTAAGATTACACTGTACTATAAACATTAAACTAATTATTTTGTTATTCAGACAGTTATAGTTACATTGGTTCCAAATTATACACATGGAGTTAATTAAGTAAAATTACTAGGTACTGATTCAAAGAATTCACTCTTTCTGGCTTTGTATAGAATATGGGATTGTAAAAATGATTCAAGTCCAAAATTAACATACTTTGGAACTTATCTGGGTAAGACTAGTAGCTCAAATGTCAAATTATCTATGTAAAAAAAAATTATTAATATTAACCCAATACATCTATGAAAAGTCCAATAAGCCTTCTATTTTGTTATTCCTTTTCTTATTGTTCTTATATTAGTATTATTTGTTTACTTTTTTCATAATGCAAGATTTGTCTTTCCCTCTATTTTTTTTTTGCTTTTTTTTTATATGTATCTTTTCATATCTTTGATTTCATTGTGCTAGATCTAAGTTGAATAAAAATAAGAAATGGAATAATACAGGGAGATTTTGTTGCCTCTCTCTAAAATATAAATTTACTTGCTTTCGTGGGGAAGAGGGAAAAAAAAGAAAAAGAGAACAAAAATCATTTTATTAGCGCTGATGATATTTTACTCCAACTAGAATAAAGTACAACTTTTGAGGATAATTTATATCCCAGAAACAAAACAAAATAAAATAAAAGTGCAATTGCAATGCATGCCAAGAAAATAAAGTACTTTAGTTGTAGTGCTCGTAATTGGTTGATGGATTGGTAAATCATGCACCACCAAATGATATCCAATGTTGTTAAACTCGGACCCGATAGCGACTCGGCTAAACTATTTGATCAGAGGTGGTCAACTGGTTAGATCAATTGAACCGTTCTAAAAAATTTGCTGATATCAGCATGATGTTATAATTATTTTATATTTTTATAAGTTTCAGAAATATTGAAATTAAGTTCTTGGTTATATTTCGTCAATCATGAAAAATGTTCCAAAAATATTAGACATGCAATCAAATATACACCTAATAATTATATATAAAAATGTAAATTCTTGGTTAAAATATGTCCATTCTCCAAAACTACTTGAAAAACTAAATTAAAACAAATTAATGCAAATTGGAATCACAATGCTAAATTAATGAGATCATAGGAATGAATACATCTTGATTTAAAAATCATTTAAGAAAGCGAGTGATTTTGATATTTACACTAAATGGGTGACTTTTTTTATTTCTATTAATAAATGAAAATATTACAATTTAGGTAACTCAATTATGTTTAGGGAAAAGAAAAAAGAAAAGTTTAAGAACCGGATCAACCAGTCGAATTAGGTCACTGGTTTAACCGATTTTTTGTGGTTTCGATAGGTTTTTATCAAATCAGTTTTATATTACAAACCAATTTGAAAAAAAAAATCAATTCACAGTCGGACCAATCGAACCGACAAATCCGGTCCGGATCTAACTTTGATGTTACCAAAAAAAAATATATTTCCACTTTATGGGATCCCAATCAATGCCCAAGTATTACCATTCTTTGTTGAGTATTTTTGGAGTTAACTCATTAATGGGGTTAACTCCAAAAATACCCCCATTGAATGGTAACTCATTAATTCGTGAGCAGGATCGAGCTTGATTATATGTATATTTTTTTATTATTTTTATTTTAATAATAAAATTATATATAAATATTTCTAATATTTTATTATTTATTAAAAATTATTATTTTATTCATTTTTAAAAAATAAAATTATTTTTTATTTTTTAAGCTCGAACTCAAACTCAAGTTGAAGTTTCATAAAATTATGTTGAGCCTTGGCTCGATTAGGCCGAAACTTGATTCGGTTCGACTCGTTTGCATTCCTAATGATGTCTATGCAATATGTTATGAGAAATAGATAAATGTAATGCGCAAAACACATTTTGTCAGTTACATTTTTTGTTATTGAAATTTTTGCAACAAAATCTTTACCGTGAATACCCTAGTTGAGACTTTTTGGTCTTTAGATAAGGCACACAACCCAATCCATTAAAAAATTAGGGGATGTTCAGTAAATGGGTTTCAACACAAGTTTCAAATTCAATTACACCCATATATGATGTTTGTTTGAGGCTAATGGGAATGATAGGCCTCTTCTATGGGTTTTGTGATTAATCACCTTCACTAGGAAATCATCTTAATTACCCATCTTATTCTCCTTAAATATAAAAATTGGAAAACAAAATGCCATTTTAATTATTTATCTTTTTCTCTTTAAATGTAAAAATAAGAAAAAAAATGCCATCGTTTCTACTGGTTCCAACAAATGGAAAAAAAAAAAAGAAATAATATAAATTATAAATTATAAAATCCATTTTACATTAATAAATATACTATGGGTTTTCATCAAAATCTATTATCATTGATCACCCTATGATACAGATAATGACAGTGACTGTGAAATTCAAACCAAATGGCTCCTTAAACCAATTCAAGCTTTAACTCAAACGAGACAAACACAGCTGGCCCTTAGTACACTATGACGTTTTGGCGTTTAAGTAATGCAGACAACTCAACTATAAAAGGCCCTTCAGTCTTTAGCTTTCCCTCACCCCTCTTCCTTCAGTAGTCATATTTTCTTGGCTTAAAAAAGCTAGAAGAAATGAGTCTTACTGGTAAGCTCGTTAACCAAATCGAGATAAAATCCGATGGAGATGTGTTTCATGAAATTTTTAGGCACAGACCACACCATGTATCTGCGATGAGCCCTACTCATATTCAAGGTTGTGATCTGCATGATGGTAATTGGGGAACCGTCGGATCTGTCATCTTCTGGAATTATACTCACGGTATCTGAATTTCCTCCTGATTTTCCTTCTTTTCGTTGTTCCTTTCAAATATTTCCATCTTTTCTTGTTTATGATTCTGCATGCATGTATAATGCTTAGATCTATTTGAGCAAAGTTTTCAACTCACAAATGATCTTGGTGCCTGGTTGTTCAACACCTTCGTCCCTCTTGTAATTTCTTAAATTTCATCCTCACCTGCTAAAAAAATTGAAAGATAAAATTGAAAGGTTCAAGTAAAGGTCAAATGTTAACAATCTTTGCATGGTTGCGAGGCCACTAGGAAAATTTATTTTTCTTGGCCTTAATAATTACTGAATTTTGTTTTTTTTACCTTTAGAGTTTCACACTCTTCTCGTTCAATTCTTCAATTTTTTTAGATGGAAAAAAGAAAGTGGCCAAAGAGGTTATCCAGGCCATAGATGAGGCAAAGAGGTCAATCACATTCAAGGTGATTGAAGGAGATGTGCTGGAGTTATACAAGACCTTCATCATAACAGTTCATGTTGATGCCCATGGCAAAAGCAACTTGGTTACATGGACCTTCGAGTATGAGAAAAAGAATCCCAATATCCCAGATCCAAATACTCTGATGGACTTTTGCCTTCATGTCACTAAGGATATTGAGACTCACCATCTCAAATGAAGGGGTGCTAAATTGTCATCATAGATGGCACGAACATGTGTGTTTGGAAGTTCCAAGATCTCCAGTTAGTGTATTGAATAAATGTAAGCTCGACGAAGGTTGTACCATGTGCAAACCTGAAATAGATTGTGTGCTTGCTCCTATGAGTTATGATAATATCATATGTTAATGGTGTGGTCCAATAATCGATCGATGTAATTATTATCAGCTGTTTAATGAATTTCTACGTATTGAAAACTTTATGTCTCGATTCCTCTCTCAGAGGCCAGTTTAATACTGCAATATTTTTTTGGTTGAACTCATTTTCCTAGTGTAAAGATTTGGATTAGGGCAACATTGAAGTGACCAGAAAGTCCAACTCGGGAGTTGGCGCATATTGGCTTGAGTTCCTCGATCTAATCAAGACGAAGCTGAATCAAATTACTTTGAACATCTTTTTTGGGAGTGCACCAAAGTCATTGAATCATAAATGTTTTATAGGAAGCTAAAGTTTGCCCTAAAGTCCTGTAACTGATACAACACATGCTACCATGAATTGTTGACACATGACAAATGATTTCTATATTGAAGTTATGATGAGGCTATGTAGATGAATAAACATGGTTCTTTTTTTTTTTTTTACCTTAAACAGGGAAATTTTCATAGAACTTCTAGGAAACTAATATTTTTGATACCTCCATTTTACCCTCAAGATCAACTTATTTTAATTACTAGTTGGCTTAGTCTCTGTCAAATATTTGGCATTAGGGGAATCATAGAACTTAGCATATGCATCCTTAAGATTTATCATTTTTTTCTTTTCACACAAAAGAAGATATTATTATCCTTCATTCAGAACATGTAGAGAGCTACAAGATAGTCATTAACGATTTGTCCTTTTATCCTGTACCAAAAAAAAAAAGAAAAGGCAATTAATACGATAAATAGCACATCATGTCTATTATCGCACTAACTAATTTTATGGTATTATTTTAGGCACACTCGTGAAATTGACCCACAAATGGTAGTTTTATTACATTTTACGAAGTTGTAAGGAAATTTTTATTGCTGTGTTTGAGGAGTTATATTTACTAGAAAGCCATGTAAAAGGATCACACACTGTCTCTGCTGTTAATTTCGTTGTAATTCTGCAGAGCTTGACAAAGAGACCAATATTTCTTTTTCATCAACTCCGTTGGTTCATCAAACTCCACAGGTTTCCCTATTATGTTGTCAAGAAATTTTTAGCATAATGATTATGCTCAAAAGACTAGTTCAGCGTAAAGCATATGATAGAGAAATATGCA